GCGTCGTATTTATTATTATTATTGTTATTATTACTATTATATTATTATTATTATATTATTATTATTTTATTATTATTATTATTATTATTATTATTATTATTATTATTATTATTATATTATTGTTGTTGTTTTTGTTGTTATTATTATTGTTATTATTATTATTGTTATTATTATTATTGTTATTATTATTATTATTGTTATTATAGTTATTATTATTATTGTTGTTGTTATTTTATTATTTTTTATCATTATTGTTCTTATTCGTTTATGTGTGGAAGGACTTTTAGTTGATTGGCAATTATTATAGCTATTTTATCTATCTGTCTGCCTGATTTTTGTCTTCTGTCTATCTATCTGTCTATCTACCTGTCTATATATCTGCACATCTGCCAGTTTTTTCTGTATGTCTTTATGTCCGTCTGCCACAGTCTTTCTGCATGTCTGCCAGTCTGTCTGCCTGCCTGTCTGTCTATCTGTTTGCCACAGCCTGTCTGTCTGTCTGCCAGTCTGTCTGCCTGCCTGTCTGCCACAGTCTATCAGTTCGCCCACTTGCTCTATAAATGAAAGAGGGAAAGTCTGGGCAAGAAAGAAACGTCAACAAAGAACCCTCGGGGCCTTCATCATGTCCAGATAACCCCCCCCCCCACCCCCCACCCTTTCCCCTCCTCCCCCCTCACCTCCTCCCCTTTCTCTCTCTCTCTCTCTCTCTCTCTCTCTCTCTCTCTCTCTCTCTCTCTCTCTCTCTCTCTCTCTTTGTCTCTCTCTGTCTCTCTCTTTCTCTCTTCTCTTCCTCTCTCCTTCACCGCTTCCCCTTTTCCCCTCCTCTCCCCCCTTCCCCCCCTCCCCACTCTCTCTCTCTCACACACTCACCCTAACTCTCTCCCCACTTCCACCTCTTCCCTCCTTCCTCTCTCCTCCCCTCCTCTCCCATCCCCTCTCTTCTCCCCTCCCCTCCCCTCCCTTCCTCTCCTGTCCCCTCCTCTCCCCTCTCCTATAATTACTCTGGCCCGGGACCGCACTTGTCCAGCTGAACTTTCCCCTCCGAGTTGATCTTGGGCAGAGAGGAAATTAATGTTTCGGTCACGTGGGCGCCTGATGGCTCTCCCTTATTGGGGACACACGCGAATAAACACATGCGCTCACGTACGTCTGTCTACATGGGGTGGTATACACGGCGGTGGTGGTGAGGCGTATACATACATTCGGGCGTTCGTGTATGCACATATGCACGGAGTCGTTTAGTTAGGCATGCACGCAGGCACAAATACACGTAAACACACAGACGGGTGTAAAACACACATACGCACGCGCACACGCAAACACAGGCACACACTCGGACAAGGACACGCATACACAGGCGCGCACACACACACACACACACACACACACACACACACACACACACACACACACACACACACACAGATTTTGGAGAGAAAGAGAGGGTGGGAGGGAGAGAGAGAGAGAGAGGGAGGGAGGGAGGGAGGGTGGGAGGGAGAGAGAGAGAGAGAGAGAGAGAGAGAGAGAGAGAGAGAGAGAGAGAGAGAGAGAGAGAGAGAGAGAGAGAGAGAGAGAGAGAGCGAGAGTGAGAGCAAGCGAGAGAGAGAGAGAGAGAGAGAGAGAGAGAGAGAGAGAGAGAGAGAGAGAGAGAGAGAGAGAGAGAGAGAGAGAGAGAGAGAGAGAGAGAGAGAGTGAGAGCAAGCGAGAGAGAGAGAGAGAGAGAGAGAGAGAGAGAGAGCGAGAGTGAGAGCAAGCGAGAGAGAGAGAGAGAGAGAGAGCGAGAGCGAGAGTGAGAGCAAGCGAGAGAGAGAGCGAGAGCTATAGCGAGAGAGCGAGAGAGAGCGCAGCAAGGCGAGACTGTTGGATGAAGATAAACTCGGTCTCCCTTTCATCTTGACGGATCCTCTTCGGCCGAGACTGGAACTAGCCGAGCCAGGGCCTTGCTCTTTCTCGCGTTTTCATGCTCTCTCTCTCTCCTTTTCACGCTCTTTCTCTCGTTTTTTTTCTTGCTCTTTGTTTCTCGTCTTCTTGCTCTTTGTCTCTCATTTCCGTGTTCTTTGTCTCCTTTTCTTGTTCTTTGTCTCATTTTCGTGTTTTTTGTCTCTCCTCTTCTTGCTCATTCTCTTTCCTTTTCTCTGTCTCTCCTTTCTCTTTCTCTCCTCTTGTACTTTCTCTCTCATCTTCTTACTCTTTCCCTCTCCTCTCCTTGCTCTTTCTCTCTCCTCTCCATACTCTTTCTCTCCTGTTCTTGTTCTTTTTCTCTCTCCTCTCTTTCTCTCTCTCTCTGCTCCTCTCTTCGCTCTTCCCAAGTACTCTCGCTCTTCTCTGGTATTCGGTATTCGCAATATTTATCAGTCTATCGCTTTGTTGATCGATTTTTTTTCTTCTTCTTCTTCTTCCTCCTTTTCTCTCTCTTTTACTGCGTGATGGATTGCCTGGTTGCCGCTGTTATTATTATTATTTTTATTTTATTATTATTTTTTTATCTCTTCGTCCGTTTAACTGTTTTTTATCCTTTTTCTTCTTACTATTTATTTTTCCTCTGTTTTCTCCCCCCCTCCTTTATTTTCCTCGCCGATTCCCATTCAATACAACTCGAAAGTGTATTTTGTGTATGTATAGTATGTATCTTGGTGTATATGTATATGTATGTGTATGTATGTAGGTTTGTAGATTGAGAGATAGGTAGAGATACATATAGATTGATAGATAGACAGAGATACGTGTAGATTGATAGATAGGAAGATAGGAAGAGATACATATGCAGTGATACATTGATAGTTAGGGAATGATAAATATAACTGTTAGATAGGCAGTGATACGTATAGATTGATAGATAGGCAGAGATACGTGTAGATTGATATATAGGAAGAGATACATATACAGTGATACATTGATAGTTAGGGAAAGATAACTGATAGATTGGCAGTGATACATATAGATTGATAGATAGGCAGAGATACGTGTAGATTGATAGATAGGAAGAGATACATATACAGTGATACATTGATAGTTAGGGAAAGATAACTGATAGATAGGCAGATATACATATAGATTGATAGATAGGCAGAGATGCATATAGATTGATAGATTGTTGGACTGATAGATATATAGAATAGTAGATGGATATTTGTCTTTTACGCACTACATCTACGGTGAATACAAATAAATCTTAATGAAAACTTATGCTCATCTTCTCACACACATTGCCCCCCCCCCTCCTCCTCCTCTACCCCCCCTCCCATCCCACTACAGTTCCATTACTCTTTAGATTGGGAAATGAAGGAGGGATTTTAGCTTCATTGCTCCCTTGCCCCTTCCTCTTTCTTTCCTTGTTGCTTTCCTTCCTTCTCCTCTTCCTCCCTTCCTCTTTTCTGGATTTATCCTCCGTACTTCCTTTTTCTCACATCTTCTCTACTTAATTCTCATTTTTGTTCCTTCCTTTTCCCTTTCCATTCTTCTTTCTCCTCTCCCTACTGTTCTCTGTCTCCCCTTTTCATCCTTCCTTCCCTCCCTCGATTCTTCCTCCCCGTCCTCCTCCATCCTTTCTTCCTTACCTCCTTTTCAATTCTTCCTTTCCTTCTGCGCTTCTTCCTCCCTTTCCTTTCAACCCCCACCCCCCTCCTTTTCCCAGACTCATGTTCTTCGGCAAAGTTTATTCATGTCTTGCCTCCCCCCCCTCCCCCCCCCCCTCCCGATCCCCGTGCACCACCCACTCGTGCTAGAACATTATGTCTCGTTCTAGAAGTTCTAGGGAAGGAGAGCGTGCCCTTCGTGAGTCCCTCGTAGGCGGTGGATTTTCTTTGCCCTTTCTTCAATTCCTACTTTCTTGGTCTTTCTTGCCCTTGCCCTTTCTTCCCTCTTCCTCCTTTTTTTTTTGGTCCATATCTGTTTTGTTTTTTTCTTTCTGCTTCTGATTTTGAATATTATCTAAGTTTCTCTCTCTCTCTCTCTCTCTCTCTCTCTCTCTCTCTCTCTCTCTCTCTCTCTCTCTCTCTCTCTCTCTCTCTCTCTCTCTCTCTCTCTAACTCTCTTTCTCTCTCTCTCCCTCCCTCCCTCCCTCCCTCCCTCCCTCCCTCCCTCCCTCCCTCCCTCCGTCTCTCCTTCCTTTCTTTTGTTAAATTATTGGTCACTTAATCGATTGCCATTTTTTTAGTGTTACTTATGCTTATTAATTACCGTTGTCCTAAAATTGCACATTCTTTCCTTTGCAGGTATGTCCGTGTGAGATTGCAGTTTTGACCCATAGGGGTAAGTACCATGAAAATGTGTGTGTGGTGTGCGTGCTTGCGTGCGTGTGTGCTTGCGTGCGAGCATGAACGTATGTACATGTACGTGTGTCCCTTGTCCCTCTGTGTGTGTGTGTGTGTGTGTGTGTGTGTGTGTGTGTGTGTGTGTGTGTGTGTGTGTCTTTCTGTATGTCTGTGTAACTGTGTAATACATTCCATTGGTAGAAAAAATATAGTCACGCCCTCCCTCCTTTCTATCCTCACTTTCTCTCCATTCCGACGGCCATCTCTCTCTGTCTGCCTGTTTATCCCCCTTGTCTCTTTCTATTATTATCTCAATTCCTATCATTTCTTCTCACCATCATTTTTCTTTTCTTCATCTATAACGGCTGGCCCTCTTCCCTTGTTTATTATCTTCTCTCGTTTCGCCTGTTCTCTGTCTCCTCTACCTCTCCTCCTCCTCTTCCTCTTCCTCTTCCTCTTCGTCCTCATTCTCATCCTCCATCTTCATCATCTTTTTCTTCTACTCTTTCTCATCCTCCATCTGTAATTCCATCTTCACCTCCCCCACTTCCTCCTCTTTTTTCTTTCCCCTCCTCTACCTTTTCCTTCTCTTCCTCTTCCTCCACCTCCATCTTCACTTCCTCCTCCACCACCTCTTCCTCCTCCTCCTCCTCCTCCTCCTCCTCCTCTTCCTCCTCCTCCTCCTCCTCCTCCTCCCTCCTCCCCTACTTTCCCCCATCCCCATCCTCCTCCTCCCCATTCTCCTCC